AAGATATAACTACTGACCAGATGGAAAGCAGCAACCTACCATCAACTAACAGAGAGACTGTCACTCTTACAAACATACACAGCTTGGTATGGGGGAATATTTAGTGGTATTGCATAGATACAAGTTGTCCTTGCTAGTTCCAAAATCCAGAGTTCTAGCACAGGTCCAAGCCGCCCTCCCAATCTTTATATACAACACATTCAACATTTAGAACCAAGTAGCTTTACTATAGTGGATGTATTTTTCAGCTGTGTAAAAGAATGGATCCTTTAGTTAATATCAAAATCAATTTAATACAAGAATAATTTGGTTGCTTATTGTGCAAAAAGAAATAGTGTGTTGTTATCATTGTTGATAGTTATTCATGATGTATTTAAAACACATTTACATTTTTTTTGAATTAAAATATTAGAGAAGTAGGATACACTTAAATGTTAGAAAAACTGTGGAGTATTCTTAATTTTTTTTGTTACATTAATATTTGTATTCTAGCAAGACATTAATGATTTGAAGCTAAAATGTTTCAGTCTAACATTTTAGAAATACAAAACTAAATATACAATTTTACTGACAAGTAGTGTTTATTAAATTGTAGGGATAATAATGTTTCATAAAAACTTTGAATAGATGTGACAGTCATCAGCATGTTACACTGATACAAGTATAATTAGTATTCAGTATTTTGGAAAACAAATTTAACAAGTTCAGGAAGACCAGAATCATACTTAAATGGTCCTCAAAATTTATTGCATAAAGAAGAAATTACATCCATGCTTGGGTAATCTGTGGATGGTATAGTTTTCACAAAAAGAAAAAAACAAATTTATGTTATCATATACAATTTTTTTAGCTTTAACAATTACATGGAGAATTTTGTAGAGAAAAATTTTACTGACCACCACGCAATCTCAATACTAAGTGGAGGGTCGACTCCTTCTGTATGTTATAATCTGACAAGGTTCTTCCATCCTCCAGTTGCTTGCCAGCAAAAATTAACCTCTGCTGGTCTGGAGGGATCCCCTCTTTATCCTGAATTTTAGCCTTCACATTTTCAATAGTGTCACTTGGTTCAACTTCCAGGGTGATGGTTTTACCTGTCAGAGTCTTAACAAAGATTTGCATGCCTCCTCTGAGCCTCAGCACTAAGTGAAGTGTTGACTCTTTTTGAATATTGTAATCAGATAAAGTTCTTCCATCTTCCAACTGCTTTCCTGCAAAAATCAACCTTTGCTGGTCTGGAGGGATCCCCTCTTTATCCTGGATTTTAGCCTTTACGTTTTCAATAGTGTCACTTGGTTCAACTTCCAGGGTGATAGTTTTACCTGTCAGAGTCTTAACAAAGATCTGCATGCCTCCTCTGAGCCTCAGCACTAAGTGAAGTGTTGACTCTTTTTGAATATTGTAATCAGATAAAGTTCTTCCATCTTCCAACTGCTTTCCTGCAAAAATCAACCTCTGCTGGTCTGGAGGGATTCCTTCTTTGTCTTGGATCTTAGCCTTCACATTTTCAATTGTGTCACTGGGTTCAACTTCTAGGGTAATGGTTTTGCCGGTAAGGGTTTTCACAAAGATCTGCATGCCCCCACGGAGTCTCAACACTAGATGAAGAGTAGATTCTTTTTGAATGTTATAGTCTGACAATGTGCGACCATCCTCCAACTGTTTTCCAGCAAAAATTAATCTCTGTTGGTCTGGGGGAATTCCTTCTTTGTCTTGAATTTTGGCCTTGACATTTTCAATGGTGTCACTAGGCTCCACTTCCAGAGTGATAGTTTTTCCTGTTAGCGTTTTTACAAAGATCTGCATCCTTAATCTAGAAATTGATAATAAGAATAATAATTATTATTATTATTATGTGTGTAATGCATATTAGGAGATATTTTTTTTTGTTTTTTTTAAATGCAAGACATTACAAATGTGGATTTAAGTTTAGAATTTAGTGAAGTTAAAACAATGTTAGTATAAGTTTGGTTATAATATCAAAATTTACAGAAGCTAGGCTTACAAGATCCATGGTGTTTGGTCTAAGAATCAACTTTATTACAGATAATTTATGCTATTAACAGGTTATTGTTAAAGAGGTAATATACTAATAAATAGTTTATAGAAATTACGTTTCCTCGGGAATCAATTTTTCTTTTTTTATGTTGCACGATTTCATCACTGAATTTGCATGCTTTATAACTTCTCCACTTAGTGAGAGTAAATATAAAACTTATAGTTATAAGGCCATAGCATTAATTTGAATTTGAAACAGATCGTGCACGCAAATTTACCTTAAAGTTAAAGAATTGTAATTTACACTACAATTTTACTTTGAAGTTTGATGGCTAGTCTTACACAGTTTTGCGACATCATTGAGTTATCGCTTAGCAATAGCATATTACTATTAGTATTACTACTAGCAACACCACGTTTTAAATCTATTTTAAAGCCCAAGTTCAACTTTAGTCTTTAGCTTTGTAACGGTAGGACTAGTAGTGATACTAGTAGGAAAACTATGATACTATGTTAACAACGCTAAAATAATAATAATTAGAAATCAATCATCATACAAAATTCAAACATGACTTGCAGAACACAAGAATACGTATACAAGTAATAAATCACTTACCAATAAAATGTACTTCCTTCAAATATAAGTTAACAGTGAGAGCGGATTACGATAACCTTCCTCAGTAACAATTTTCAAAAAAGAACAAATGATAATATACCTCAACGCTTCTGGCTTTTATAGAAAAGCTGTTGCAACATTCTATTGGAGGATATAATACTGCATGTTTCGTCATCCGTATAGAACTATTGCGAAAGCCGATGTTCCTTCGAAAAACAAAATGCTATTGCATACCCGGATGTCAGAATATTCTCGAAGTGTCGAATGGCAATGAAAGCGAACGTTCGTGAAGAGTAAAAATAACTTAAAGTGTATAATAATATCTAAACAGCCACATCGTGAAAAAGTTATAAAATGAAATCACCATACAACTTTTTGGTGCAACGGAGGATTTTAATTCAAGTATTATGAGATAGTATTAAAAATCTTTAATTGCAAAGTAATTTAATCATATATATATATGCGTACCGCTTCTTAAATACCTTTACAAATCAATAGATAACCCCACAGTATGTTATCCTTTGAGTTTTCACTTTGGGATTTGCTCTTGACTGTCCAATTCTCATTACAATTAATAAATCGCAGGGTCAGATATTTGAACATGTAGGAATATTTCTTCATAATTCTAATCAAGGATCACTTGTAAAATTTACACAAAAAATATTTTGGGTGAAATGCTAGAATTTGGAGGTCAAATAATCCAATGAATCGGTAATATAAAATAATTCAAACTATAAATTTTTAAAATTAGAAGAAATAATAAAATCAAACGAACTGTCAAGTTCACAAAAAAAGGTTAATTGATTCGAGGTTTAAAATGCTGGCTCAACCGTTTCGCTGTGACGTTTGTTTACTAACCCTGACGTATTTTCTGGGTATTTTAAGCTATAAAACGTTGCTAATTAGGCTTTACGTATTTTATTCTAGCACCTTTTACAAGGCCTAATTTTTCTGCAACTTGGGCATTCTACACCAATGAATTAAAATTCGTACTTTTGGTATTCCAAGGCCTTAAAATTGATTATGATATTACAGACTTCGTTTCTTTTCAACAAAGATAAAACTGAAAATTTAATCTGTGACGTAGAGACGTATTCCATTTGTTCGTAATATAAGAGGACAACATCCATTTGCAAACACCTACGGACAAGCAGTGTACTTTTATTTTTCAAATTAACAATAAGTTTTTATACAAACATAAACACACACGATTAGAATATGCACATACACAAATATAATATTGCTACGACAGCGGAAATCACGCAACGCTGGGAGCATGCGCGCTGGAGTTTCTCAAAGGATCATGAACTTTCCTGGCAACTCTAGTTTGTTCCAGGCGCCCTCTTTTTTAGTATATAAGCCTGGCAAGAAAAACCATCGCGATCGCATAGATACAGAGATATGCAGATAGACTGAAGATAGAGATAATTGAGTCAAGCGAACAGTAGGCATCGTAAGTAAAGT